CCAGTGTCGGGGTCTGGGCCAGGGCCCTGATGCAGGGAGAGTCTCCAGGCGTGACTGAGCCGCCCCCAGACAGGAAAGGGGACGTGGAATGTCAGGACGGGGCAGACTCTGCTGCTGTAACAAGCCCTGAGCCTCCATCCCTGAATCACAGTGATGTGTCTGACGCACCCTGAGGACCCATCACCCCCGCAGACACCGTTTCCCTGGGGGTGACTGACTGACACCCAGACTCACAGCTGCCCTCACAAAGTGCTCGGCTGGAGGCAGAGAGGAATGTGCTCCGGGAGGCTTCCCGTGTAGACACGCACAGAGGCCACGGAGTACGGCCACAGTCTGGGCCACAGGACGAGAGGGGAGGCTGGACCACGCTGGCCGGGGCAGAGGGGGACAGAGGCCGTGGCTGCTCTGGCCTGGGCTGGAATCTGGGAGCACTCACGGCCGGGAGCCCAGATTGTGGTGGGCGGGAAGGCAGCTCCAAGGGGCCAGGCTACAGCCCCCGGGAGCGCCACACGTCCCCATAAGAGGCAGCGCAGGCAGGTCGTCACGTCTCGGGTGGGCTCAGAGGCAGTGCTCCTGCGTGTGTCTGATCATGTGCCGGGGGACACCCTGGGGGGTGCAGAGTGCCGGGTGAATAAGGGTGATCAACCACCCCCACCCCTGTCTGCTGCCCGCTGCTGGCACGGCCAAAGCGCCTTGGAATTCAACGGTTCTCTGAGCACCCGCCAGGTTCACTTCTCAGAGCTCCGCCTCCTTGTCCTGCTGCAGAGGGGCAGCACCCCCAAAGCCCCCCTTGCCCCCTCCCCTGTCCAGGGTACCCCCAGGGTCCGTGGGTGCAGGGGGAGCCCCAGGGGGGAGCAACGGTCCTTTAACAGGCTGCAGGGTTTGACGGGCGGGGGCTGGGCGCGGCTCCAGCCCAGTCGTGTTTAAAGCACATTCCTGAGCTCTGAAAGGAAATAAAAGTGCTCCCTTGTCTGAAGAGACAACAGCATCGTGGTAACTAGGACCAGATGGGCCCCGGGGTCTCCGGAGAGAGCGGGCGAGACAGAGCCAGCCACACTCCATACCCTGGCTGGGGCCCGTTACTAAACACCACAGCTCGCTGGCCCGGAGGGTCCCGGAGCTGCGTGGGGCCTGGTGGGGCCCCCGCAGGGCCGCCCCTCACCCCACCCCCGGGAGCACCATCCCCTGTGCTCCCAGACCAGCTCAGGGAATCTCCCACCAGGGCTGGAAAGTGGGAAGGAGTCCCCCAAATGCCTGGCCAGATGCTCCCCTGACCCCCTACCCCCTCCTGATTCCCCCACAGGCGAGGACGGACCCCGAGGCCCTCTTTCCTTGAGGGGGGTGCTATGCTTGGCCCTGCCCTCAGCAGCTCCTGTAAGGCCCCCCACCCCCCACGAACCCACTGAACGATGTGACAGGAGCTAGCCACTGGCAATTATCGACCTCCCCAGAAGCCCCTGGACCCCTCCCTGCTGAGCGAGGCCCCTCTCGGGGCAACTGATTCCTGACCTGTGCAGGGGTGCTAGGCAGTGAGTGCCAAGGGGTGCCCACACTTGACCCCTGATTGTCCAGAGGGGCAGCGGGCTTGGGTCCTGCCCTGAGAACTCTTGGGGTCCGGCAGGCGAGGAGACACAGTCAGTGGCCCTGCCCAGGGCCCAGCAGGAACCCAGGCCAGTCCTGAGGGGGGGAGGGGGGTCCCGAATTCTGTTTCCCAGACTCTGGAGGGTGGGATCTGAGGAGCCACTGGGAACTCTGGGAAGCTCTGTAGTATGAAACCTGCTCAAGCCTGGGCCCATTTCACACGTGGGTAAACTGAGGCTCGACTGCTCCCACCCGTACAAGGGAGGGCTGGGGACTCCCAGGCCTGTGTGCTGCCCCTGTCCATCTCAGAGCAGCAGGTGTGACCAGGGGTGCTGGGTGGGAGTCCCCCAAGAGGTGGGTGTGAGGCTGCTTCACCCGCTCATCACCCTGCGCTGAGACCTCCGGGAGGCTGGGGTGGGCTGAGTGGGGTGAGGCTGGAGCCCTCCCCATCTTGGCTGGGGGGGGGTCTCAGGGCTGCCTGAAGGCTCGGGTCTGTCACTTCGCCTGAGGGGGGAGCTACAATGAGAGGGTCGCCCAGGAGGGAGGGCCCGCACGGGGCTGGCTGGGGGCCACGTTAGCATCTGAAAAAGGCCAGAGCCACAGGACAGCGGGGAGGGCACTGGCCCTGCACACAGCTGCCCTGGGTTCCACCCCAGCACCCCAGAGGGTCTCCCGAGCCCACCCGGAGTGATCCCTAAGCACAAGCCCAGAGTCAGCCCAGAGCCCCGCCAGGTGTGGTTCCAAAGCCAAACGGAAGGTAGACGGCTTGTCAGACCCCGGCGAGGTACTCGCACCCCATTTCCAGACGAGCAAAGGCAGCCCAGGGTGGTCGGGGAGGGGCTGGCGGGTGCTGTGCTCACCTCGAGCCACCCCCGGGACAGTTACTGTCACGGCCATCCTGCCACTGCCCCCACCGTGTCCACCTCACCTCGCCGGTGGGGCCTCGCCTGTGCTCCCTGTGGGGCTGGCACAGCTGTTTCCAGTGTCCTCTGAGCATCTGAGCTGGGGGGGGGGGGGTGTCCTCTTTCCTCGGTGCCAGGGCCTGGGGGCAGCAGAGGCGGCCAGCTGGGCCCCTTCGCTGGCTCCCATGCAGCACCCGAGACACCTGTCCAGCCCCCAGGCCCAGCGCCCACCCACCCACCAGGGAGCCTGTTGCAGGCCGGAGGCCCACAGCTGGTGTAGGCAGAACCAGCTCACCGGACAGAGGTTGGGCTGAGTCAGAGACACCCCCCCAGGTCAGAGACCCCCCAGGTCAGAGACCCCCAGGTCAGAGACATCCCCAGGTTAGAGACCCCCAGGTCAGAGACCCCCCCACTCAGGTCAGAGACACCCCCAGGTCAGAGAATGCCCCCAGGTCAGAGACCCCGAGTCAGAGACCCCCACAGGGTCAGAGAACCCCCCAGGTCAGAGATCCACAGATTAGGGACCCCCAGGTCAGAGAACCCCCCAGGTCAGAGACCCCCCTGAGTCTGAGACCCCCACAAGGTCAGAGACCTCCCAGGTCAGACTCCCCCAGAGACCCCCAGTTTAGGGACCTCCCAGGTCAGACCCCACCCCCACTCAGGTCAGAGACTTCCACCCAGGTCAGAGACCCTCTCTGAGTCAGAGATTCCTGATTTAGGGACCCCCAGGTCAGAGACTTCCCCAGGTCAGAGACCCTCCCCGGATCAGAGAACCCCAAAGATTCAGAGACCCCCAAGTTCAGAGACCCCCGGGTCACATATCTGCTCCTGACCTAGGTCTCCCGGGGGCTCGGAACCTCACCCCCCAGGCAGGGGGTCCCCAAGTGCTCTCACCAGCCTGTTGCTGCCCCAAGTTCCAACAGCTGCCCTGCTTGCAGCTGCCACTGTCCACCCTGTGGACACGCCACAGAGCTGCAGCACCCTTGGGCGCTCACAGGTGGTCACAATGCGCATGCACCCAGATCCCGCGTGGCCCCTCACTGCATGGGTGCCAGTGCCTTGTGCCTCGCCCAGAAGGACCCGGCCCCTCACCTGCATACTGGGCCCAGCGCAGCACTGGACAGCTGAACAGAGCCTGGTGCTCCCTTTACCACACCCTCCGGACCCCCACTGTCCCCCAGACCTGCTTCCAGGTCCCCGGCCCCCAGGGACCCTTGCCTCGGAGAGGAGCCCCCACCCCGGCCAGTGGGAGGGGCTGGGAGCTGTGGCCCCCTGGGAGTGCTGGGGGACAGGAATGGTCACGGAGTGACCTGGGGGTCTGCTGAGGGGAGTCGGGGGCCCGCGGGGCAGTGCCAACACCAGGACACGGAGCTCACGATGTGCAGATAGAAACTTTTATTTCCTCCCATCCTCAAGCGGGCCTGAAGCTTCTCCGAGGACAGTGGCACTGACCAGAACTGCACAGATGCTCATGGGGCCCCGGAGACGGGGTCTAAGGTGTGGTCAGGGCCCAGCTCAGGGCGCTCCTAGAGCCCCTGTCCAGCCCGACTGTCCGGAGCCTGGGGGACAGCGCCCCCCTGTGGGAATGGTCCAAGAGTGAAGCACAGAGTAACGCCCACCTGTCCCACCACATCAGCCACTGTCCTGGAACACCTCTGGGCAATCAGGGGTGGACACTCCCTCTGCCCAGCCTGACAGTGTCCCGGAATGTCCCCTTCAGAACAGAGCTGATGACAGGGTCACCGTCTGGGTCTGTCGAAGGCCAGAACCACTGGGGACCTGGACATGAGATGGACAGGGGCAGGGTGGACAGCGCCACCCGTCCCCGGGCTGCCAACCTCGTCAAGATGGGGGTCTCTGCTCGGAGCACCCCACCTGGCCCCACTGTGGGTGGGTCCTTCTGGGCACCCCTCTCCTCCACCGCCCCCCACTGGCCTGCCTTCCCCTGCCCTCTCCCCAGGGGTCAGAGGGCCCCTGGGGCATCTCACTGACCCCCTCCACCTTCTTCCTAAATAGGGGAGACCACTGCTGGCCTTCCTCCCTTCTCACCACCTGGGACCCTGGCCAACCCCTGCGGACCCTAGAGTCATTATTTCTGAGGGGCCATCCGGGCCCGGAGCTCCCCCTGCTGGCCAGAATGCAGCACTGCTGCCCAGGCCGTGTGCCCTGTAAGCCAGGCCTTGAGGGTCTCCCTGAAGACCAGGGAGCCAGGAGCTTCCTCCACTCAACGTTCTGGGCGAGCCAGAACCCCGCAGGCCTCCCTGCGGCTCGGACCCGGGTCTGCCCTCCCTCTGAGGGGCCTGAGCAGGCCCAGGGCTCCCTGAGGGGCTTCCTGGACTGGGATGGAAGAGCCTTTGCATCCCGCACAGGGGACAGAACCAGCCCTCGGGGGCGGCTCTCAGGCAGGGAGCGCCCCCCTCCCTGGGCTCCCCAGGCTGCCGCCCCCATGGCCCACGCTCTGCGGGAGAGAAGCGGGCAGGGGCACCGGGCCCAGGGAGGTGCCAGCAGTCCCAGTCCGGCGGGCTCAGGGCGTCTGGGGGGACAGCAGAGGCGTATCGGAGCTCTGCGAGGACAGGTTCTGGGACTCGGGCCCGATGAGCCCCAGGTTGTGCAGGTTGAGGATGGAGTCAGCGATGATGCGGGCCGTGCACTTCTGGTACCCGCCTGACGTCACCATAAGGATGGGCACCTGCTGCCCGCGGACCACCCGGAACACCAGCTCATCCCGCTTCACTACACCCTGTGGGGGGTGGGGGGGGTCAGGGGGTCCGGAAGTCCTGCTGCTCCTCCGACCCCACCCCAGGCTCCCACCCAGCCCCCTACCTCAAGCCTCACCTGCGGGCTGATGGCCAGCCCCCCGAGTCGGTCACCCTCCAGGACGTCGGTGCCCGCGTTGTACACCACCACGTCGGGCGCGGACTCCTGCAGCGCCCTCTGCAGGTTCCTCTCCACCCGCCTCAGGTACTCCGAGTCCTCCGTGCCCCACTCCAGCTCCACCTTCCTCTGGATGGCCTCTGAGGGGACAGCGGCCGGCAGACAGGAAAGAGAGGCTGGGGGGACGGGCGCCCTGCCCACTTCGGGTCAGCAACCCAGCGGGACGGGCCCACGTGACCCTGGCCTGACTCTCCCCTCCCCAACACAGAGCCAGACGGGAGCTCCCCAGGGTGGCAGGGGGCAGGGGGTGGGGAGGAGGCTGAGGAGGAAGCACTTTGCCCCGGGCCCACAGCAAGCCCCTCGGACACATCAGCTTCCAGCCTGCCAGGGGCCAGGCGGCCTGTGGGACCCTGATGCCACCAGCAGGTCTGCACCCTCCACTCCTCGGAGTTCCTGCCTTTGCTTTTTTTTTTTATTTCCAGGACACCCAAGTGGTGCTCCTGGGGCCAGGCGATGATCGCAGGCCTCCTGTGTCTCAGCCCGATGCCTGGGACCATGGGGTGCTGGAGGGGGACCCGGGTGGCCCCTCACGCAAGCTGACCCCTTCCCCCCGCACCTCCCTGCACGGCGGGCCCCTTACCCCTGCACCCCTCCCACACATCTCTGCCTTTTTGGCGGGCAGCTGGGCCTTCTGCATATTCCATGCCGGCCTGCGGGAGTGGGGTCCGCTTCCCACACGCTGTCATGTTGCTATTCTGCCCTTTCCTGTTCCAGGGGGGCAGCAGCAGTGGTGGCTGTGCCCATCACAGCGTCCCTATCTGCGCAGGTCACACAGGGAGGGGGACAAGTGAGGGTCTGGGGGTCAGGAGGCCCCGGGGCTACTTCTGTGATACTTGGCCAGCAGGTGCCAACCACAGGGGCTGCTCAGGCCCTGCAGGGCGAGGCTCTGGAGTGTGAGGCCCCTCGAAGCCCTGATGATGCTTCGGGGCTCAGGGGAGCGCATGGTGCCCCAGGGAGCCTGGGGCGGGGTGGGGGGCATGTGGGGAAAGGCAGACTCTGCCTTGACCTATCTTATCTCTGTCCCCTTTCTGGTTTCCCCCTGGGCAGCGCTGCAGCAAGGCCCACTGGGCACACCTGGCCGTGCCGTGGACAGAACCTGAAGCCCTGCACTGCCAGACCTGGCTCCACCATGCAAGCCACATGCTGCCTCCCCGAGGGGTGACGGACGGTCCCCAAAGTGGAAAGCGCCCACCCTGGCAGAGAGCCGAGAGCCAGGGAGCAGTTTTGGTCGGGAACCACTTGGGTCGGGACCCTGCACCCCCTAGCATGGCGTGGCAGAGACGGCTCTGGACTCTGAGCACGGAGACCCCCCCAGCCCCCACCCCCCAACCCCTGTGCCTCCCAGGAGCCGGGGCAGGCATGCCACCCCCAGAGCACCTGTGCCCGCCCCCAGAGTGCCCGCGCCCGCCTTACGCTTGGCGAAGCTGTCCCCAGGGTAGATGTGGCGGTTGTAGACGTCCATGATGTACACGCGCTTGTCGCCCATGAAGTCCCGCTCGTGCCCGTTGCCCTGTGGTCAGAGCAGCTGTGCTGGCCGGGGCCCACCCGGGACCCTGCAGCCCTTTCTACTCATCTCTCATGGAGGAGCCAGGCAGGGGCCGGCCCGCATCACAGGGCACCCAGGGATGTGCTGGGAAACTGCCTGACCAGGGTCACTGAGGGTCACTGAGAGCCACTGAGGGTCACTCGGGGTCACTCAGGGTCATGTGACCTCAGGGAGTAACCCCCAACCCCCGTAGGAGGGGCTGCCCCTTCACTGGGGCTTGAGTTCCGAGGAGGGGACAGCCCTGCACCCCACGGCTGCCCTGGCGGGGGCAGAGGGCGTGTCCATGGATGCGGGGTGGCCGGGAGGGATGGGGGTGAACCCAGATGTGACGCAGCAGAGAGCAGACCCGGCTGAGGGGGACAGAAGGGGACAGAGCTGGACACCTGAGGCTCCCAGGAGTGAGGAGGTGGCAGCTGGGCCAGAGGGTGTCCCTGGGGCCAGGAGCTGCACCCTCGCTCTGCCTGACCCCGGGCTCCCATGGACACTCACCTGGTGGGCATCGAGGTCAACAATGGTGGCTCGGGAGATGCCCTCCACACGCTCAAACAGGAACTGCCCAAGGAGAGGGGAGATATGAGCATCCCCAGACCAGTGGCCCCTGGGGGACTGGGAGGCACGAGGTCACACAGGCCTGAGGGTACTCAAGCCACCAGGTGGACAGTGAATACCTAGAGGAGGTGCTGGTCAGGGAAGGCTCCCTGGAGGAGGCAGTACAAGCTGGGGCCTTGAAGGATGAGGTTTCATGGTTACTGGGACAATCAGAGACCAAGGCTCAGTCTGGGGTTCCTGAGGGAATGTGGGCGTGGGGTGGGCACCGCTCCACATTTCCCCACCTCCGCCCCCGCTATAAGGCCATGTCCTAATGCCTCCTCTTCCAGGAAGCCAGTCTTCCCTGCACTCCCCCTGGCCAAGCCCCTGACTCTCTGCAGGGGCTGACACCAGGCACCACGTCCCACCCTGATGCCTCGCCCGAGCCGCAGGGAGTTTGGGGGCGCACTGGAGGCCCCTGTGCAGGGGCCAGTGCCAGCTCTGGCCTCAGTTTCCTGTTCTGTGACAAGCAGGTATCAGAGAGGGCGGCCACAGAGAAGGGAAAAGTGACACCGGGCACCCCGCAGGCACTACAGTGCCACCACATCCCATTATTACAGCATGAGACCCTTGGCTCCTCCCTGCTCACTGAGCACGGGGTCCTGGTGGATGGAATCCCGCCCCCCACCCCCAGGCCAGCGGTGGAGCAGGCTGGACTCCTCCTCTCTTCCTCCTGGCACTGACACTAGGAAGTGTCCAGCCACCCTGCCCTCTGGGTGACATGGGGAAGGGGGTGGGAATAGGGAGGGTCTGCAGGGCTCCCAGGGCCAAGCCTGCCTGGGCACCTTGATGGCCAGCGTGATGTCCGCGTAGGCACAGAAACCCCCGCCCCGGTCACTGGAGCAGTGGTGAAAGCCGCCCCCTGTGGGAGGAAGGGCGGGGTTCAGGTCCTGTGCCATCCAGGCGCTGCCCTGCTCTGAGTCCGCGTCCCCATCCCACTAGGCCTCCACCGGACTCCTGTGACCCCGGCCACCCTGGTCCAGAGCAAGACACACCTCAGGGGGTCCCCACAAGTCAGCACAAGTCAGAGCCAGTCCATTCCCCCCCCCCACCAAGGCGATTCTCCTTGGCCCTTTCCCCGCCCTCCCCCCAGAACTGGCAGGAAGGGTTGGGGTGGCCCTATGGGGGATCCCCTGGAGCCTGGAGGTAGGAGGGAGTGACCAGGCAGGGGATCTCCGGCCACCCTGCACCCCCCTCCCAGGGACTCAGTACGGAGCCCCCAGGAGAGCCCCAGCTGTCTAGGTCTTCCCTGCCCTCTGCCCCCCTACACACACACACAGACACACACACAGACACACACACACACACCCCGTGTGGACTCACCAACATTGATGGCCCAGCCTCGCTCGACGGCCAGCTTCCCTGCCTTGGAGACAGATGCAGCCAAGTGAGGGGTGCGGATAGCCAGGCCCTCTGCTCACCCCCCAATCCCTGCTTCCTGCCCTTGTGGGGAGCAGGAGGGGAGTCTGGGAAGTGAGGGTCACACTGGCTGCTGCATGAGCTGCAGGGACAGAAGCCCCTCGCAATCCTCCAGGGAACAGGGAGGAGGGAAGGCTCAGCCCGAGGCTTGCTCAGGGGCCTCCTGGACCTCAGTGTGTCTCCCCAGGGGGGAGACCAGGGCTCACTCGTGGAAATGCAGTTGACCCCGTGAGAATTCAGACAGGCAGTCATATTCAAATGCACCCTAAAAAAATCTGCAAACGGGCAAGTGAGTAGGATAACTGTGGGGGACTCCATCGGGTGTGGGTTCAATCGTGCATTTAAATCTGAATGTTCCTTTCTCTCCCGTAGCTAAGCAGTGTGAGCTCAAGTTCAAAAACAGGACACAGGGGTCAGCACTTTGGGACAGCGGTCAGGGCACCGGATTCTCTCGCGGGCACCCCCAGGTTCTCCCCGAGTGCGGAAGCAGGCATAGTAAGCCTGCAGCACAGCCGGGTGAGGCCCAAAATCAAAACAAAGGGAGGGGGGCTGGAGCGATAGCACAGTGGGGAGGGCCTTTGCCTTGCACGCAGCCGACCCGGATTCGATTCTCAGCATCCCATATGGTCCCCCAAGCACCGCCAGGAGTGATTCCTGAGTGCATGAGCCAGGAGTAACCCTTGTGCATCACCAGGTGTGACCCAACAGCAACAACAACAAACACAAAGGGAGAGTAAAGGCCATAGGTGATGCCTGATCCTGCTGTGGCTGTTCTTTATTGCTGCACCGTCTGAGGTGAGGGGGCACCCTCCGTCATGAAGGCTTGGGGGGGCTGGTTTTCCATGGTAAAACTGAGCCACAGTTCTAGGGTGCAATCTTGGGGGAGGGGCACAAGACTGGATCTTCTAGACCAGCAAATACGGTAATGTTGGGGCTTGGGGGTTGCGGTGATTTCTAAGCCTGGGATGGGAGAGGTTTTTGGAGACAGGTCAGGCTGCCTGTCTCAGGGCCCCGAGGAAGGTTGAGGATCTGGTTTCATTCTAGGAGGGAAGAGGCACTGTGGGCGGGACAGCCCAAGGGGGCCCCAAAGCTCGGCCTTTCTCCCGCGCAACACCTACCATGATGGTCCCTCCAGTTTGCGTGCGAAGGGGCCGCAGCACCTTCCTCTGCACCAGGAAGTTGGGGAGGAAGAGCACCGGGGGGATTTCTGTGATGGTGGCGACTGCGAAGGACCACTGTGGGGAGAAATGCAGGTGTCGTCGGGGACCGCCTGCTGGAAGCACGTCCCCCCGCGCCACGCCGTGGGGATGGTTCCCAGGCACCCCGAGGGGCGCCCGGCTCAGGCACAGTACCTTTGGTAGGAACTGAGACTCCCAGGTCGGCTGGCCCCCAGATTCAAAATCTGGGCAGGGGCCACAGAGATAGTGCAGTGGGTAGGGCACTGGCCTTGCATGCGGCCGACTCAGGTCTCATTCCCAGCACCCCAGAGGGTCCCCTAAGCCCCACCAGGCATGGTGCCTGAGCACAGAGACAGGAGTAATCCCTGAGCACTGCCAGGTGTGACCCAAAAACTGAAAGAAAAAAAAATATTGTACAAAGTAAATGGATAAGAACAGTTTCCTTAAAGCTGGGTCAGCCCAGGCTCCCGGCCCTGCTGGCTTGCAAGCCCCGACCTGCCCTCTAGTGTCCAGAAGCAGAAATGCAGGCTTCAAGCTCCCCGCTGATGGAGAAGGGGCCAGGCCTAGCCACCGGGTAATGGGGACACAGGGCCCCAGGAGGAGGGTCACACATTTAGTGGAGCCAGGCCTCCTGCCCCACCTCACCAGAGACTCTTCCTCCGTGGGGAATCTGGTGCCGTGGCCATCTCTGGCGTCCCAATCCCCAGCCCTCTCCTGTCTGGCTGCAACGGGCCCAACCCGGAACACAGGAGACGCCTGTCCCAGATTTGGGTGTGCCCACTGCCGGTGGGCACCCGCCGTGTCCACAGCTCGGGGCTTCCTCATGCAGTGGGAGGGGCGTATGTCTGGGCTGTGGGACAAGGAAGGACCCACCCTTCCCCCCGCCCCCTCCCCGCCCCCCCCTCCCCCGTGCAGCCTTCCACCAGCCCTGAGGACTGGGATCTGTGAGTGTCCGAACACACAGGCTCAGACAGGAAGGGCCAAGGCAGTGCTGCCGATCCCACCACTGACCAGCACAGAGTCGGCTCTGTAGGAGTGAGTGGGGAGGGCACCGAGTCTCTCTCTCTCTTTCTCTCTCTCTCTCTCTCTCTCTCTCTCTCTCTCTCTCTCTCTCTCACACACACACACACACACACACACACACGCCCCAGCCCCAGCAAACCAGCGGTCGGCAGAGAGGAAGCGAAGCTGGCGGTACAAGGCATCTAAGGATGGTCCCAGAAAGGAGCTGGCCAGGCAGGACCCTTCACCCTCGAGAAAAGGTTCCTACAAGTCAGTCTGGGAGACACGGCTCAGCTGCCAGCCCTGGGACACGCACACACATGTCGGGGCAGCTCCACCCTGAGCCACCAGCCACCAGAAGCCGTTTCCCCAGGAATTTTATTTGGTAAATAGTTTTTGATGTTTTTGGTTTGGGGGGGACCACACCCGGGGGGTGCTCAGGGCTTACTCCTGGCTCTGCACTCAGGAACCACTTCTGGCGGTGCTCAGGGAACCACATGGGATGCCGGGGATGGAACTTGGGTGGGCCGCATGCAAGGCGAGAGCCCTCACTGCTGTACTATCGCTCCAGCCCCTTCCCAGTGAATTTTAATTGATCGCCTCATTTAAAAATGAGAAATGTGGGGGCCGCACAGATGATGTAGGGGTGTGGGCACGTGCCTTCCTGGTGGCCACTCTGGTTCAGTCCCCAGCACCGCACGTGACCCCTTGAGCATCTCCACGGGTGATCTCTGGCCCCCGCTTTGGACTTCCTGTCTCTGACCCTGACAAAGCGGCAGTGAGCACCAAGCCCCGAGTTCCCTCCTGCAGAGGAGGAGGAGGAAGACGCTGGCACCCACGGGCTGTGCCTCACGTCTGGTGAGGGACTGGCGAGGGGCAGGTCCGGCTCCAGGTAACAGCTGAAGGTGTGAGGCCAGGTAGCTGCACGTGCCCCTGAAATCCTTCACTGTCCTATAGCAGGCTGGAGCTTCTCCAAGGGCCCGGCCAGCTGCTTGGGAGAACTTGCTGGAAATGAGGGTCCCAAGCCCTTCGCTGGGCCTCCTGAGGCAGCCGAGGGAGAGAGGACCCCTACGTGGGCTGAGCCGCGCCCTTGAGAAGCCGAGCTGGGAGTCTGCCCTCACCTGGCAGAGGGCCCAGAGAGCAGGACGCACCTTGGGGACCAAACTTCTCCTTCAGCTGCACCTCGGCGGCGCGACACCCCAGCTCCGTTTCCTCGGGGGCCCCTCACCCCTTGTGTGCTGCTGTCCGCCCCAGATCCCAGGTGCTGGGTCACAGTCACAGCTTTTTGGTTTGTTTATTGAGCCATACTCAGCTGGGCTCAGGGCTTCCTCCCGGCTCTGCTCAGGGATCACTCCTGGAGGGGCTCAGGGGACCCGATGGGGTGCCAGGATCAAACCCAGGCAGTCTGCTTGCAAGGCCAGTGCCTTACCCCTGGGACTACATCTCTTTGGCCCCCAGAGTCAGAAATCTGCACCAGTGGAAGGATTAAAAAACAGAGAGGGAAACAGGTGACCTCGGTTAACACTTCATGCTTCACACAGCGGCCGTGGGGAGCGGGCCCCGTCGTGGAACGAGGTGCCACCCCACGGCACCAAGCACTGACGGGAAATTGGCCACATTGCCTTCTCTCTCTTTTTTCTTTTTTGGGGGCCAGTTCCAGCAATGCTGAGGGACCAGGCGACACGGGGATGGAGCCTGGAGCCCCTCATGCAAAGCCTGTGCCCGGCCCCTTCTGCGTGGTCCCTGGCTCCGGCTTCTCAGCAGTCAGGCCAGTTCTCAGCAGAGCTGATGGCAGCTGCCCCTGGGAAGGGTGCTCCCGCTCAACCCCAACTCCAACTGGTTAGCGGGAGTTTGCGGTGAGTCTTAGCCCGGGCATCTTAACAAGTCCTTCACAGGGAAGACGGCGCACAGCTGTGAACTTGGCCAAAGTGGAGCAGTTTTACAGTGGAGCTGGGTTGGATCCCCGGCACCCCAAACAGTCCCCTGAGCCCATGAAGAGTGAGCCCTGAGCACAGAGCCAGGAGTCGGCCCTGAGCATCACCAGGTGTGGCCCTAAAACCAAAACAAAGTGTAACAGCCCCATGGGCAGCGCCCCGACCCATACCTTCAGCTCACTGATTACCCCCAGGGGTCGTCCCCTGCACCCCAGCCCGTACCTACAGATCATTGAGAGCCCCTGGCCACCCCCCTGAACCCGGCCCATACCTTCAGCTCATTGAGATAGCGTCTCGTGTGCACCACCAGCAGGTCCCCGTCCGAGGCCTCCCGGGCCTCCACCAGCATGCTGTCCGAAAGCAGCTTTTCTTCTGGAAGCACAAGGCAGCCCCCTGAGCCTCCCCCTGCACCCCTCGGCCCATCTGTCCCTCTGTTACAGCAACAAGGCCAGCCCGCCCCAGTCTGCAGGAAGCGGCTACAGCCTGGACTGGCCCCTCGAGGCCTGGGCTCCGCCGTGACCCTCGCCGTGGGCAGGTGCGACTGGTTCTCCTCGTCGGCCCGGCAGGAGGCTTCTTCTTCTCTTTTCCTTTTTCCTTTTGGGAGTTTGGGCCCCACCTGGCAGTGCTCAGGGATAACTTGTGAAGGAAGCCAAGGCCCTAATGGGTGGTGCCAGGGATCGAACCGGGCTCGGCTGCGGGCAAGTTCCTTACACACTGCCCTGAGCTCTCTTCTTACAGCAGGTTTCTGCTGAGTCTTTCCAGACAAAGGCTAAGTCAAGAAAAACTATGAAGAAAATGATGACGCGGGTGGTCAGAGGCAACTGCATGGTGCACGCAGGGCTCGCCAGGGCCGCGTTTGGGAAGCGCTGGTTCCGACACCCCGGCAGGCACCTGGTAAGGGCTGCTCTGTTTTGTAACAGAAGAAACTGAGGCCAAGAACCAGAGGAGTTCTAGGGGCCCAGTGAGACGTGGCCCAGGATGCTCTGGGTGCCGGGACAGTCAAAGGGACAGGGGCAGCGTTGAGGGGGCCTGGCAGAAACTGAATGGCCCCATAGACACCCCACAGGCAGCAAGACACCCCCACCTAGGACATTCTGTGACTCCCCACTGCCTCCAGAAATTCCAGTTCTTTACTCAGTGATGCCTTAGGCCTTGCCCATGTCCTCCTTCCTCAACGGACAGATGAGGGGAACAGAAACCCTCTGACAAGCTGCTGGGAGACAGAGGGGTGCAAGAGGGGTCTGTGTGCTGTGGTCTTTGTGCTGTGCTTTGTGATCTGTGGTCTGTGCTGTACTTTGTGGTCTGTGCTGTGGTCTACACTGAGGACTGTGTGCTGTGGTCTGTGTTCTGTGCTGTGATCTGTGTGCTGTGGTCTGTGCTGTGGTCTGTGGTCTATGTTCTGTGCTGTGATCTGTGTGCTGTGGTCTATGCTGTGATCTGTGTGCTGTGGTCTGTGCTGTGGTCCCTGGTCTGTGGTCTGTGCTTTGTTCTGTGCTGTGGTCTGTGGTCTGTGCTGTGGTCTGTGTGCTGTGGTCTGTGGTCTGTGCTGTGGTCAGTGGTCTGTGTTCTGTGCTGTGGTCAGTGGTCTGTGTTCTGTGTTGTAGTCTGTGTGCTGTGGTCTGTGCTGTGGTCTGCGGTCTGTGTTCTGTGCTGTGATCTGTGTGCTGTGGTCTGTGCTGTGATCTGTGTGGTGTGGTCTGTGCTGTGGTCTGTGGTCAGTGGTCTGTGGTCTGTGATGTGGTCTGTGTTCTGTGCTGTGGTCTGTGTGCTGTGGTCTGTGGTCTGTGCTGTGGTCTGTGGTCTGTGCTGTGGTCTGTGGTCTGTGTTTTGTGCTGTGGTCTGTGCTGTGGTCAGTGGTCTGTGTTCTGTGCTGTGGTCTGTGTGCTGTTGTCTGTGGTCTGTGTTCTGTGCTGTGGTCTGTGCTATGGTCCCTGGTCTGTGGTCTGGTCTGTGGTCTGTGCTGTGGTCTGTGTGCTGTGGTCTGTGCTATGGTCCCTGGTCTGTGGTCTGGTCTGTGGTCTGTGGTCTGTGTTCTGTGCGCTGTGGTCTGTGGTCAGTGATCTGTGCTGTGGTCTGTGCTGTGGTCTGTGGTCTGTGCTGTGGTCTGTGTACTATAGTTTGTGGTCCATGTGAGTGACTCAGGCCACATGAGCAGCAAGCTCAGGGATAGGCCGGTTCGGAAGGCAAAGGGCAGCATGTAGTAGGGGGCCCCGGCCCTTGGCAGGCTCTCCCCATCACAGTGCCTCTTCTATGCTACTATTTTTCTTCCATTACTCTGATCACTACAGTAAATGGAAAACCGGTCCCTCTTGCCATAAAGTTAACAGCAAAAAAATACCAGAAAGTATGATTCATCCCCACTGTTCTCTGACTGCTTAACCTGAGGCTCTGCTGGGAGGTCTACGGGTTTTGTTTCTCACTGGGGGAGGGGTGGGCGGTGGGGGAGGCCACACCCCGTGGTGCTCAGGGCTTACTCCTGGCTCAGGGATGCTCCTGGAGGTGTCTGGGGGTGCGGTTCTGGGGATCAGACCCGACTTGGCCCTGTGCAAGGCAAGCGCACAGCCCACTGTGCTATCTCTCTGGCCTCTGGGGCTGGGTTTAAAGACGCAGAGGCAGTGTGATGTTATTTTAGGCCAGGTTCTCCCTCAGGCTCCCTTTACCATCGCCTCTCCTGAGGGGCCTCTGGGTTGGGGCAGAAACAAGGAGGTTCCTTCTTCAGGACGGAATTTCCGACCCAACCAAGGGCTTGGACAGTAAGCCATGTGGTAACAGTGACTCCCGACCACTAGAATCCCAGTAGTGGGGCCAGGGGCAGTCTGAGGGCTGAGACTGGCATCTTCGAGTCAAAGGGCGCAGGTGGGGACTCTGACCAGCCGCAGAGGCAGCAAGCGGGCCTGGCAGGGGCCCCCCGGCCGTACCTTTCAGGAAGCTGATCACTTTGCCCCATTTTCCTGCGTCGAAAGGGTGCAGCTTCTCCAGGCCCAGGAAGGTGATGTTGTAACGTGGGGAGTACACAATGGGCCAGCACGACTCGGGCACATCCTGGTACAGCTGGGTTGGGTGTGGCCTTCCAGGGCACAGAGACACACACACACAGGGACAGCCTGAGCCAGAAGTGGCCACCTCCTACCGGCCGGACGGGCTGGCCCAGCCCTGACCCAGTCCCACCAGCTCCTGGCCGGGGAAAAGACCACTGGGCACCATCAGCGTGGGAGCCAAGGCATGCCCGCCTTGCCCCATCAAACCCGGATCTCCCCGGCATGCCACCCACCCCCAGGCTTGGTGAGGGCCCGCGTGTCCCCAAGGTCACAGGGCGGGTCTGGGCACGTGTGCAGGCAGGTGTCTGGCAGGCGGCCTAGCCACCGCAGCATGCCACATCACAACAACAGTATCACCCAACACCTGGGTCTCCCGGGCCCGATTCGCGGCTGCTCTGAGGGTTAAAATCACGCAGCGAAACGGCCGAGCCCAGGAAGCGCCCGCGGGTGGCAGCTGCTCGTGGCAGTTTCCAGAAACCTGCGGTCCGTGCCCAGTGCAGGCTGGGGCCCAACGGGGTCCCCCCCGGGCCCGCCCGAGCCCCGCTCGCAGCTGTCACCCCCTCCCGCCCCAGCTGCCGCCCCTGCGGGGGCACAGCTGGCCCAGGCTGCAGCCGACGTCAGACCCGCGCCTGTCGCCGCCCCCAGCCCAGCCCCCCGCTCCGCTCGGGACCCCGCGCGGCCAGCGCCGGGCGCCCAGCCTGCAGGAGGGGCGCCGCGCCCCAACGCCGCCCCCCGCACCCCGACCCCAGGTGCACTCACATCCCGGGGCCGAGCCCTCCCGGCGCTGGTCACCGCGGCGCCACCGGGCGGGGCGGGCCGCGGCCCCGCCCAGGACACACCCCCGGCGCGGCCGCCTCCGCGGGGGCGGGGCTCCGGCCGCGAGGCCCCGCCCCTCGCCGCGCCTGCGTCACAGAGGATTGGCCACCGGCCTCGGAGGCCACGCCCTGAGGGGCGGGCCCCGCGCCTGCTCATTGGGCGTCGGCACGCGCGGCCTCGCCCCGCCCCCAGGGAGGAGCCGCCCAATCCCGCCCCGCGCCCGCGTTCCAGTGCTCAGCTGGCTGGGGCTGGAAGGGAATCACGGCACGCTGGCTTTGACCTTGGGCGCACACCGGGCGGGATGGCGGGGCCCTGGCCCTGCCATTTGTGACTTAATGAGGTTCTTGACGTCGGTGATTTATAGACACAAGGTCTATCCCCGGCCTCAGCCCACGTGGGTCTGCTTTGACCTGAGGCTCCCTGGGTCTCAGTGGACGCAAGCGGAACACAGCTGACCCCAGCTGTGGGGTATAGTCGGTGTCTATGTTGGCCCACCCCACCCCCAGAGAGCTAAGACAAAGCCTGTTTGGGACCTGGCCGTGCCCAGAGGCTTCAACAATAGAGCCCAGAGGACACATACAATGAGCCTCTGTCCACCCACTGTCTCTGCCCACCGCTCGGTAGCAGCTGACCAGGGGCAGCCTGGAGGGAGCAGCTGGATCCCGAGCGGGCAGGGGCAGGACACAACTCGATGAAGGGGCGGTGGCGTCCATCTGCCCATCAGCTGACTGCAGGATAGCCCTGAACCCTCACAAGGAGTCTCAATGATGGGGTGCCTTCAGCACTCCGATTCCGGCATGAGATGCAGACGTCTGGGTTCAGCCCAGACTCTGCCAGCAACTGCCCAGTGGCAGTGGACAGCCCGATCTAGGCGCCTATCTTTCCTGTCTCCGTCCTCATGGGGAGTTGAAGAAAAAAATCAGTAAGAGTAATGCTGCTGGTGACGTCAGGATGCAGTTGATTAAAAATGACAGTTTATTATTCATGCTCCATTGTCTTTATCCCCCGTTCCCTCTGTTATGATTGCCGTGACCAGGGGTCACACTTCCTGGCCATGGTGCTCACACGCCCTTTTAATTGCCGTGCTCCCCAGGGACCCCAATCTTGAGTTTGCAGTGCCTCCACACAGATGGTTGCTTGCACCCAGAAATCCAGCTCCCAGGAATTCAAACCGCAGACCCTCCAGAATCAAACTCCAGCCCCAAGTGTGTCTGTGCCACTGAGCCATTTCCGTGATCAGTATTGAAAGCTACATTCTTCCAACTTCTTACACCCGGGGACCACACCTGTCCTGCATAGCAGTGCATAGACCAGCAGTTATAGCCAAGGGCGAGTGGTTTTCAAAAGCTTTATATCAGTGGTTGAAGACCATTGAGTTTAAAAAAAAAAAACACCTGGCATGTGGTGAAGGTTTTATGCTCATTTAATTCATGGAGCAGCCCTAGATACCCCCATTTTGTTGGTGAGGAAATGGAGACACCAAATAATAAACTAACGCGCCCTTTAGGGTAGGGATGTGGGCCAGGTATAGCCACAAAAGGACAAAAGCCACGTTTCATAATGAAGCACGTACAGTGAGCCGGTGTCCTTGTCAGAGACTGACCCCACCTTGGGAATGAGCCCTGAGTCTCGGGAAGTCACGCAGCTGCGCCTTTTGCTGGGGGAATAACGGTCTGCAGCCACTCGGATCCAGGGAGCTGAGTCCAGAGAAAGGAGAATGGTTCTGGGTTAAGGGCTGTGCCCGGTGTGACTAAGGCATCATGTGATCGAAGGAGAGCCCACAGGAATTTGGGGGCACCTTCAAACCACTACATCCATCTGGATGCCCCCCCCACATACACACATTCTATCTCCTGGGGGAGAAATTGGTAGTGTGTCTCATACGGAGTGTCTGGGCCTTTTATGGCATCCCAGTATGTCTGCTCATCATGTCACTGAAGGGAAATTGCTGTGCACTCAGAAGACTGGGTCTGGAAGCTTCCACGAGTCTCACAGTTCATTGCAAAGAGACACACGGGAATGGAGAGAGCAAACCATCATCCCATATGGTCCCCTGAGCACTGCCAGGAGTGACCCCTGAGTGCAGAGCCAGGAGTAAGCCCTGAGCAATGAAAGGCACCAGCGGAGATGACTCAGACCCAGCACCTGAGAGAGAAGAGAGCTTTCCCTTTTTGTGTGTGTTGGGATTGGAACCCAGGGATTCACACACTCAAAGCACGCCCTCTGCCACTGAGCCGCACCACTGGCTCGCAGTTTCCTGTTTTAACTCCACATACGTGATTTTTGTCACTATTGTTATGGGTGTCACTCTCAGTGGCGTTCAGGGATCACTGAGGTCAGTCGTGGTGGCCCTGGGACTGGGGGTGGCATGCTGCGCTCAGGACAGAGCCAGCCCTCACCTGGAAGACATGCACTCTGCCACGGGAGCCACGTAACCAGCCTCTAATCATGGAATTCCTGTCTCAGAATGTCATTCTGTAAAGCACAATGCTGGCGGGTTGAAAAGCGTGAGCTTACTATTGGTCCCCTTGCCTGCAACCTTCAAATATATAGATATGTTGTCACCTAAAGTGAATACGAAGCCCCCAGGCCACTACATGCCTTTTGAAGCCTACAGGCATGCAAAGGACATCAATTAAGTGCAAAAGGGAATAATTGACGCAGACTCAATATCTCAATAATTGTAAAAATATTAGATTGAGGCATCCTGCTACATGGTCTCAAAACACAGTATCAAAGGGCATTAATCTAAGTCCTTTACTTTCTTCTTTTTCTTCTTCTTCTTTTTTTTTTTTACTGCACCCAGGATGCTCCTGGCTCTGCACTCAGTGATCACTCCTGGCAGTGCTCAGAGGACCATTTGGGATGCTGGTGATTGAACCAGGTTGGTCACATACAAGAACAGTACCCTCCCCAAGGTGCTATCTCTCTGGACCCTTATAAAAGTTGTTGTGTGGGGACCCTGCCTCTTTAGTTACCAGCAAGCCTCTGCTGCCCTCCTATTGGCTAACACCATAGCTCTATCCTATTAGTGGTTTCCCAAGGGCGTATCCCACTGGCTGTTCCCATTGGATAAATCCATTCACTGGACCCCAAGGCCAAGGAAGCTCAGGTAACAGTTTAGGGAGATTAGAGTGAAAGGTTGTGGCCAGTGGGTTTGGAGATGGAACTGTAGCACTGTCCTCCTGTTCATCAATTTGCTCGAGCGGGCCCAGTAACGTCTCCATTGTGAGACTTGTTGTTACTGTGTTTGGCATATTGAATATGTCATGGGGAGCTTGCCAGGCTTTGCCATGCAGGTGAGACACTCTTGGTAGCTTGCCGGGCTCTCCCAGAGGGGCGGAGGAATCGAACCCGGCTTAGCCGGCCAACTGCGTGCAAGGCAAGCGCCCTACCGCTGTGCTGTCACTCCAGCCCAGAGATGGAACCAAACAGAGAAAAACTATTGAGTGATATTGGAGATTTTTTTAAAAATTTTTATAATTTTATTTATTGAATCACCTTGAGAGCAGTCACAAAGCTTTTGGGTCTAAGTCTCAGTCATACAATGAAACACCCGTCCCTTCACCAGTGCCCATTCTCCACCCCCAACAACCCCAGTATACCCCCATCCCGCACCCTCCCCCTACCTGTGGGGCAGATGATTTCCACATTACTCTCTCTCTCTACTTTGATCATATTCAATATTTTGACACCAGACCCACCATTATTATTTGAGATTTTACCCCAATAACTCAGATCTGCTGAAAAGGCAACAGTAGACAATTTGTTTTCTATTGCTGGTTATGAATAACATATGGTGTCACGTGGCTGCAGTAGTGGCTGTGCAATTTTGAAATTCCAAAATTTTAACACTTAAATCTGGAGGGATTTCTGCCAAAACCTGCTGGGTTCCGAGATTTGCTCCTGAGTTTCTGGGATCATGGCCGTTAAGCAGCTTCATCAGGAGCCAGAAAGGCAGTTCGTGGACGATGACTTGGGGTCTCGTTGGGGTAGGGAAGACAGGACCAGCTCCACCCCCATCCCGTGAGGCCCAAAATGTCTCATCACTGTGGGCCCAAACCTGACTGTTCAATGGCCTCTGGAGGATGACGGCCACTGAGCCACCAGGGGAAGCAGGCGGAGGGACAACACCCTTTCCCCCCTGGGGTGGCCCAGCGACAGTAAACTACTGTGGGGTCCAGACGCATTTCTGCCAAAAGTCACTGGGTTCCGAGATTTGTTTCTGAGTCTCTAGGATCATGGATGTTAAGCAGCTTGATCAGGAGCCAGAGAGGTCATTCGTGGGTGATGACTTGGGATCTCATTGGGGTGGGGAGGATAGGACCGGCGCCACCCCCATCCTGTGAGGCTCAACAAGTTTCATCACTGTGGGTCCAAACCTGACTGTACAGTGGCCTCTGGAGGATGCTGGCCACTGGGCTGCCAGGTTGAACAGGCCAAAACACGAAACCTATTCCCACCTGGGTTGGCCCAGCACCTGTAACCTACTGAGGGGACTGGACACATTTCTGCCAAAAGCCGTTGGGTTTCAAGATTTGTTTCTGAGTCTCTGGGATCACGGCCATTAAGCAGTTCGATCAGGAACCAGAGAGGCCATGCCTCCAATTATATAGCTGAGCCTGAGGTGGTTTGTGGGTGTGTCTCCCACAAACCTAACTTTTGACCATTTACTTTCTTGGTAAACTTTGCCCCAAGTTTTTGGGGTCTGGCCAAAGGCACAGCAGCAATTTTGGGGTATCTGGAAGTCTAAAGGTGCCATCAGGCTGCTGATGCATGTGCCTCACAGGTACAGATTGACTTGCTGGCGGCACCATACCCCCGATCTTGGAGATTTCTTCAGACATTTCTGAGTTAACTCTAACAAGGAGTGGATTGGATTTAAAAACTGATCCCAGTATTTCTGAAAACATCTTTTTTTAAAATTTTTTTATTCATGGGTCTGTCACCTGTCACCATGGGGCCCTGAGACAGAGGCTTGGCATTTTCTGCCCAATGTTCAGATCCAAAATCAAGGTTCTGGTCCCACCTGCGCACAGGTGGTGTCGAAAGACATACAGGGAGGAAGGTGCTTG